GATCTTCATAAAAAGGCAAAAAATTTACAAATCTCTGATTTATAAGCTTTCGAAACCAATAGCAAGCGGTACCAAAGAGATATTCATATGAAAGGATAGCATTCATGTTTCCCATAAATGTTCACCGCTGTTCATTTAATCAAACAAAAAGAAGAACATCCGATGAACCACGAGGGGTGCATATTTCTAATCAGTTATAAACATTACTAAACAAATTCAGGGTGGATTTAAAACACAAATCTAAAAAGAAACAAAAATGAGCATACTCCGAAAGATGACCACCGAGCTCTTCAAGTGCTTTCTCGTAATCTTCCAACTTCTGAGAAACAAACGCATAATTGCTCTTCAGCTCTTCGAATTCCTGCACAAAGGAAATAATCCTTACACAGATGTAAAATAAGAGGTTGCATTCAATCACAATAAAAAGCGATTCAAAGACTAAATCCCATAGAAGACCAAATCAATTACAAACATTCTAAAAACTGCAAAAAAAATTATTTTTAGTATGATCGCTATCTAATTTCGACCCCACGAATGACCGTTGCACATATTTTGAAGTAATTATCATGTGGTAACTCACTGAAAACGACACAATATCCATTTCCGAACAAAACTTATCTTCACATGAGGAAATTTACAAATTTCATCTGCTAATGACAAAGAATTTAACGAATGTAACGAACTGATATCTACATCAACGATAACAATAACACTGATAATATTATCAACAAAAAAACCTGCTCCATCACTGGCATCCTCTTCAATTTTTCACTTAACTCCGAATTCGTTCGATTCAATTTTTGCAAATCTTCGTTTGCGGCACTTAACTCCTCCTGAAATCAAATAAAAACACTCAGTGCGAGGTGACGATCAATAAAGTCGATTACTGCATTAAACAGAAAGGGAAACATTGTAAGCCACGCTTTCAATCAATGATAAAATTTTGCTAAAACTTAAGAAGTAACCTTTTAAGGTAACGAAAAGAGATTTAAATGAACGTCAAACATAACTGATTCAATCAAATGAATGAATTAAACGAATGCCAAACACTGTCGATATCAGATGGTAACATTAACATCAGTTGAGATGAAAAATTACGGAGAAAAAACATTCACGGGCGAACATTCGAAACGAGAGAAGTATTGCATCAACACTCTTGTTTAATATGGAATCGATTCGAACGTAAACGATGCACGCACCTGTTTTTGGCTGAGTATACTCAGAGTTTGCATATACGCTTCGGTTTTATTGGCCAGTTCATTCTTCAGCATTTCGGATGCATCCGTTGTGCGCTCTATTTCCGAGTCACGCGCCGAATTGTGCGATTTGAGTGCTTCGATTGTTCGACGCATCTGCTCCTTCTCCTGTAGTACAGCCCGCAATCAATTCCGAGATTCCGTTCATAAATTTTTATCAGTAATAAATGTGCTGAGAAAAGGACATCAACAAATACGCAATATCCCAGGATATAATCACTAAAATTGACCATTTACCCTCTGCATGCAAACGACTTTTCAGCAATCATTATTCGCGGACAACATGCAATCACATACGGAGTTTTTGGTATATGGTGTTGATCAGGACAGTCATTAAAGACAGTCATAAATGTCTAGTTGCCCGAAAGACTATCGACGTTTCGGCGCTTAATGTCACCAATATAAATACCAGTCACGTCGTACGAATGAATTTATTGATGCCATATGCGCATTCCTTGTTGTTTCTTTTCTTTTACGGGCTAGCACAATATTTTCGTTCCAAGAATACCAATATTGGATAAGTCGGAGATGTCGGGAATCTCACCTGTGTATGATGCTGTTTCGCGGTGATTAGATCTCGTTCAAATTTA